CCTTTTGATACTGGTTTCCATGTATCCCAGGCTATCCTTGAACTCCCAATGTAGTTGAGGATGACCCTGAACTTCTGTTCCTCCTTCCTCTACCTCCTAAGTACTGAAATTACAGGCCTATGCCACCATGCCCTCATGTTTATGGAATGCTGGAGGCTGAAACTAGGGTCTCATGCCTCACAATCTTTTATTTCTTAATACTTGCCAATTTAGAAAAATACAGGAATTTTCAAAGGAAAAAAAAAAACCCTTGTCAATCCAGATGTTGAAACAATCAAACAAAACCTTAAAGGACTGGGATTATAGCTCAGTGGTACAGGGTGTGCCTAGCAAGCACAAAACTCTGAGTTAGCTTCCCAGTACACATATGCAAATGGGGGGGAAGCCTTTGAAAAATTGACTGTATACATACACATACAGTTCATGGAGGTAAAGATAAATAAACTTAGCCAGGCGTGGTGGCGCAGGCCTTTAATCCCAGCACTCAGGAGGCAGAGGCAGGCGGATCTCTGTGAGTTTGAGGCCAGCCTGGTCAACATAGTGAGTTCCAAGGCCAGCTGGGACTACAGTGAGAGACCTTGTCTCAAAAGACCAAAAAATAAAATAAAATAAAATAAAATAAAATAAAATAAATAAACAAACTTGAAATTAGTGGAAAGGTTTAGCATAGTGGCACATGCCTTTAATCCCAGCCATTTAGGAGGCAGGGGCAGGCAGATCTCTGTGAGTTCAAGGCCAGCCTGATCTACATAGTGAGTTCCAGACTAGTTAGCTGGGGCTAGAGGGAAATCCTGTCCCAAAAAGACCAAAAAAAGAAGAAAGGTTTCCAGTAGAGAAATAGAAAACTATAAAAACTGCCAGGTGTGGTGATGCATGCCTTTAATCCTAGCACTCAGGAAGTCAGGAGGCAGATACAGGTGGACCTCTGTGAGCCCCAGGCAGTCTGATCTACATATACCAAGTTCTAGGCCAGCTGGGGCTACATAGTGAGACCCTGTTTCAAATATATACATACAACCACAACAACAAGCCCACAGAACAGCCAAATGAAGTAGTGCATGCCTATAATCCCAGCCCTTGTGAGGTAAAAGCAGGAGGATCAGGAGTTCAATGTCAGCCTTAGACACATAGTGAGTTTGAAGTCAGCCTGGGCTACACTGTCCCCAAGAAAAGAAAAAGAGAAAAGAAATGAAATAAAAGCGAACTTTCTAATTATAAAGACAAAGATTCTGGGGCTGTGGAGATGGCTCAGAACCACATATAAATCCAGTTCCAAGGAATCTGACGTCCTCTTCTGGCTTCCACTGGTACCAAGCACACACAGGGTGCACATGCAGGCAAAACACTCAATACATAGAGAATAAAAATAAATCTTAAATAAAAAAGATAAGATTCCAAATATTTAAAAATTCCACTATATAGGCTTAAAACCTGAATGGAAATAATAAAGAAGAGTCAGGGCAAGTACAGAGAGAGAAACAAATTACCCAATCTGAAATAGAGACAAAAGGTTGGAGAAAGTAATAATTAAGGCCAAGTATTGTGTGCTACACGCCAATAACCCCCACCTCCAGTACCTGGGAGAATGGCAAATTCAAGACTAATTTGAGTTACATGACAAGTCCTCAATGGTGGGGAAGAGAGATACATATCAGACTCAGAGAACTGTGACAAAGAGTAGAAATTAATCAGGTCGTTGAACTCCCAGAAGAAAAGAATGCAGTGAAGAAAAATATTTGAAGAACAGCTGGAAACAAAACAAAACATAAAAAATAAAGAATAGCTGAAATTTCATCAAACTGGGTCAGAAACAAAGCCAGAGATTGAAGAAGCTTAGCAGTTACTAAACACAGGAAAATCCATATCTAGACACATTAAAATAAAACTGCTAGGGTGGGATATAGTCCAGTGATATAGCACTGGCCTACATGTAAGGCCTTAAATTTAATCCCCAACACTACCAAAACTAACAAACACACATTTGTCTGAACACTAAACATAAGCAAACTATCCTGAAGTTAAGTGGGATAGTGCATGCTTATAATACACTACTACTAAGGAAACAGAGGCAGAAGGACTGCAAATTCCAGGCCAGCCTGGGTTATAGTGAGACCCTGTCAGAAAACACAATAAAACATATCTTGAAAACAATTGTATTACATAGAAACATGATTCAAAGGATTTCTCACCAGAAATTGTATTACATGGAAACATAATGATTCAAAGGATTTCTCACTAGAATCTAGAGACAATAAAGCATGGAGTGATATTTTTAAAGTACTAAAAGAATTCTAAGTCACGCAAAAATATCCTTCACTATGAAGAGAAAATAAAATAGACATTCTCAGATGAAGAAAAACTAAGGAAATTAATCAGAAATAGACCTGTTCTAAAAGGAAGTTATTTTTAATAATACTTATTACTTTTTTTTTTTTGATGTTTTTGAAACAGGGTTCTCCTTGTAGCTCCAGCTGTCCTGGAACTCACTATGTAGACCAGGCTGGCCTTGAACTCACAAAAAGCTGCCTGCCTCTGTCTCCCTAGTACTGGGATTAAAGGTGTGCACCACCATGCCTGGCTAATATTTATTACTTTTAAAAATGTGTGTAAGTATATTGCCTGCATTGTGCAATGCCCATGGAGGCCAGAAAAGGGCTCAGATTTGGATTCGGAGGAACCGGAGTTATAGCTTGTTAGCTGCCACGTGGATGCTGGTAACCCAACCCAGGTCCTCTGCCAAGAGTAGTCAATACCCTTAAGTGCTGAGTCATCTCTCCATTCCCTAAAAATAAATTCTTTAGACTGAAGGGAAATGTTGCTAGAGGGAGGTTCAGAACTTAAAAGATGGGGGGCGGGGGGGGGGGGGTGGGGGGGGGACTCTTGGAAATAAAGGGAAACCTGGTTTAACTAGAAAGTTCCAGGCCAGCTGGGGTATGATACAGGGAGACTTGTTTCCAAAAAAGGATGAACCAAAAAAGAAATGGTAAACCTCTGGGCAAATAGTCTGTGAACTATCTAAGACTAAATAAAACAAAATAGCAATCTCTGATTTGATTTCCTATGTGAAAGCAAAAAGCAAAAAGCAAAAAAAAAAGAGACAACTCTAATACAAAGAAATGCAAACTTCTACATTTTATTAAAATAACTGAAGAGTCCTGTGAAAGGTTTGGTCATAAATTATAATCTCTTGAACTACTTTAAAACAAAAACACCAAGTCAACTAGAGCTAACAAATGACATAAATACCCAAATAAAGGCTGGGGCTGGGGGTTAGGGGTAGGGAGAGGAAGGCTGGGGAACATGCTAGCATATGCAAGGTATTGGGTCTGAACCCACAGCACTGTTTTAAACTTTCATATGTATTATATATGAATGACTCCAATGACAAACTCTAAAAAGGATGCAGATGAAGGTATATAAAGAACCTAATATCACAGAATTAACAGCCATAGGCCATTATGAGGAGACTTCAGGATGTACCCCACACAGACTATTAGTTCTAAAATGCTTTTGTGCTTTACAATTACAAACAGGCATTTAAATGCTATAATACGTTCTTCTAAAAGGGATACACGCTTCTAATTAATTCATTCAAACTTTTTTTTTTTTTTTTTACAAGGGGGATGTACAGGCAGGCCTCACTATATGGCCTAAGCTAACCTCTCCTCCTGCCTCAGTCTACTACCTAACTTCTTTAAGGGGTTTACCACCTAACTTCTTAGCCAGGAGTCAATCATTGGGTTGGTTGGTTACTTGGCTATGGTAAGACTTCTACGTTACAGTAGCCCAGACTGGCCTTGAATTCACAATCCTGTCTCTGAGGCCTCCAAAGTGCTGTAATTACAGGTATATACCACCTAGCCTGGCATACTTCTTCATAAAGCTAACTAGTACTCCATTACACATATAAAGTACATTTTGTCTATCTGTTGGTGGACATTAGGGATGTTTTTGCTCTAATATATTCAAAAGTAAAATATAATAAAAAAAAATGAAGAAAGACTCATCATGGGGTTGGGCATACAACTCAATAATTAAGAGTTCTTACACAGCTGGGCACGGTGGTGCACACCTTTAATCCCAGCACTTGGGAGGCAGAGGCAGGTGGATCTCTGTGTGTTTGAGGCCAACCTGGTCTACATAGCAAGTTCCAGGCCAGCTGGCGCTAAAGGGTCTCAAAAGAACCAAAAAAAAAAGAAAGAGTTCTTACCTAACATGCTCAAGAACCTGGTACAATCCCTAGTATCACACAACCCAAGCATGGTAGCATATGCCTGTATCTTAGTACTCACTAGACAGAGGCAGGAGGATCACAAGTTCATGGGCATCCTTGATGACATCTGGAGTTTGAGGCCAGCTTGTACAGAAGACTATCTCAAACAATTAAGCAAAACCCTAATCAAAATATGGTTGCAATGGTAGGAAGATTAAAAGCCTCTCCTTTTGCCTTTTTTTTTCTTTATTTCTTTATTGTTCTTGCTTGTTCCATGGAAATGACAATGGCAAGTTTAAAGTCCTATTATAGTCTTACTATGTTGTGTTAGATTAACACTAAACACTCAGACCAGAGAGATTAACAAAATCTATCTTCTAGACAAGAGATTTCCTGCTAGATTTGCCTGGCATGTATCAAGTCTTATTCTGTGATAGGAAAAAGAAAAAACAAACAAAATTCTTGCTCATCCCTATTGAGAACCCAACAATGCTGTTAAAGTATTAAAATACTTTAGCCACCCAAGAAGCTGGGATTTGCAAGCATGCATCACTACACTCAGCTCAAAAGTAAAAATAAATAAATTCTAAAATTAGCCACATTAGGGGCTGGAGAGATGGTTCATCAACTAAAGAGCACTGTTGCTCTTATAGAAAACCCAGGTTTGAATCTGTGATGGCTAATCCTGGCTGTCAACTTGACTGGATCTGGGATTAACTGAAATGAAAGAGATCTTCTTGATTAGATCATCTGAAGCTGGAAGACACACCCTAAATGTGGGTGTTACCTTCTGATAGCAGCCGTATAAAAAGCCAAGGCAGAAGAGACCACCAGGCTTCTTGCTGCTTGCCTTCTCTCTTGCTGGTGAGTTTGTCTTGTTGCTGTAGACTGAAGACTAGCTGATCTTTTGGAATTTGTCAGACCTTCAGCGCCAGATTGGGACTACTGAGACATCCAGCCTTGTGGACTGAGCAGCTACGGATTCTCAGCCTCTCCAGTGTGGTGCAGCCATTGGTGGACTACTCAGACTCTATATTGTGAGCTAAGCTAATAAATCTCTATACATATACATTCATTCTACCGGTTCTGTTTCTTTGGAGAACCCCGACTAATACAGAACCCCAGCACCTACATGGAAGCTAACAGCCACCCATAACTCCAGTTTCAGGGAATCCAATGCCCTCTTCTGACTTCCACAGGAATTGCATAACATGGGTGCACTTACACACAGGCAAGCAATACACTTGTACACATAAAATAAAAATATTTTTTTAAAAATCTAGAATATGCAATGGCTACTTATAAAGAAATGAACTGTTGTCTATTTACAAATTTTGAGCACAATTAGTGTTTCTCAAAGGAGCACTACTGGCATCTATGTTGAACCATTCAATGTTCCTCTTTCCATTCACTCTAACCATCAAAACAGCCCCTTTCAGCAGGGTGTGGTGGCACACGCCTTTAATCCCAGCACTTGAGAGGCAGAGGCAGGTGGATCTCTGTGAGTTCAAGGCCAGCCTGGTCTACATAGTGAGTTCCAGGCCAGCTGGGGCTACAGGGAAACCCTGTCTCAAAAAGGCCCAAAGAAAAAAACAGAAAAAGAAAAAAAGAAAAAAAAAAACCAAAAAAAACCAAAAACACTAGTAGCAGTTTCAAAGCACCACAAACTTTGCTTCTTTTGGTTTTTAAAAATACTTTGTGTATTTTTATTTTATGTGTATGAGTGTATTGTCTGCATGTAGGTAAAGTGCACCCCTGTCATGCAAATGCCCACAGAGGTGTTGGATTCCCTGGAACTGGGAACCCATGTGGGTGCTGGGAACCAAAACCCAGGTCTTCTGCAAGAGCAGCAAGTACTCTTAACTGCTGAGCCATCTCTCCAGCCCCTCTTTATTCTGCTGTATTTTTATTTTATGTATATGAGTGTATTGTCTGCATGTAGGTAAAGTGCACCCCTGTCATGCAAATGCCCACAGAGGTGTTGGATTCCCTGGAACTGGGAACCCATGTGGGTGCTGGGAACCAAAACCCAGGTCTTCTGCAAGAGCAGCAAGTACTCTTAACTGCTGAGCCATCTCTCCAGCCCCTCTTTATTCTGTTTTGATTTTGGTTTTAAGAGACAAGGTTTTGCTATATAACCCAGGCCAGACTGGCACTTCTTATGTACTGGCCTGAAACTTGCAGCAATCCTAACACTGGGATTACAAATGTGCCCCACTATGCCTAGTTTTGGTTCACAATTCATAACTTAACCTCCCTAATGGAGATTACCAAATTTCTGTCTTAATATTCACAGTGAATTTAACATAATTTTAACATTTCTTAATGACAATTCAGTTCTTTTTTTTTTTTTTTTTTAGAGATTTTTTTAAAAAATTTTTTTTTTTTTTTTTGAGAAACAGGGTCTACCTGTATCCCCATCTGGCCTGGAACTCACTATGTAGACCAGGCTGGCCTCAATCTCAGAGATCCACTGCGTCTGCTTCTTGAATGCTTGCACTAAAGGTATGAGCCACCAGCCTGGCTTATGACTGGAAATCTTGATCATGAAGTGATTATTATATACTATTTTAGTAAGACTTTTAGAAACTGAATTATGCTTTCTTTGATCCTATTAATACCAGTCTATTAAAGACATTTTTCAAAAATTATTTAGCCCAGGGGCTGGAGAGATGGCTCAGTGGTTAAGAACACTGGTTGTTCTTGCAGAAGACCCAGGTTCAAATCCCAGCACCCACATGGCAACTAACAATTGTCCGTAACTCCAGTTCCAGGGGATCCGATAGCCTCTTCTGTCCTCCGAGGGTATTGCACGACATGGGTGCACTTACCTACACACAGGCAATACATGCATACACATAAAATAAAAATAATAAAATTAAAAAAAATTATTTAGCCCACGCACGCATGTGCCACAATCTGTGTGAAGGCTACAGGATAACTTTTGGAAGTCCGTTCTCTCCTCCTGGGACTAAACTCCAGTTATCAGGCTTGTAAGCTTTTGACTTGCTGAGCCATCTCATCTGCTTATTTATTTACTGTTGGAGATAGGATCTTGTTACATTGCCCAACCTGGTCTAGAACTCATAAGCTCAAGTCATCTTCCTGCCTTAATGTTTCAAGTACTTGAACTATAGGCATGTGTCACCATGCCCACCAAAGACTTTTATTTGACACATGTAATATATATTTTCCACTTTATTCTTCTTCTTCTTTTTTTTTTTTTTTTTTTTTTTTTTTTTTTTTTTGTCTTTTTGAGACAGGGTCTCCTTGTAGCCCCAGCTGTCCTGGAACTCACAGAGATCTGCCTGCCTCTGCCTCTGAAGCGCTGGAATTAAAGGCATGCGCCACCACGCCCGGCCTTACTTTATTCTTTTTTTTTTTGACAAATGTCATTTATTCCTTAACCATCTAGATCTAGAATGCTCCCTACTATATAATAATATTTATCCACTAAGGATGAAACTTAGTAAATCAAAAGCCTAGTGTATGCGAAGGCTTAAAGATGGCTCCAGGCCTTCCTAAGAATCAACGTGCATGGGCTTAGAAAAGCAGCTACTTATTTTCTTATAATGTATTTGTTTCACTTACTTTTGATTTTATGACTATGATACAACATAAAAACTCCAAAGATAGACAGCTAAATAAATTAGAAGTTCACAAAGTACTTAATACTAATTAATCAATGTTTAGGACAAAGGATATCAATATGTACTAACTACTACTAAATGCTCTAACCAAATATAATTATTACTAGTAATATTTGAGTAACTCACCTGATTTCTTTTAATCCTTCTCTCTGGATAACTTGAAGAATTTCTTTATGACTCATGGGTGTATTGGGGTATTTTTCTAAGACCTGAGAAACAAGTATATAATAATAAATTACTTCTTATTTAAGTTCTTATTCTTCTAAGTGCTAATTCTTCTAATGGTGTATTACTATGTCTTAGTAATAGATCTAAAACATATATATCCACAGACTTTTCATCCCAAATCTTTCCTTCAATCACAAACAGTAAGTCAAATCCTGAAGGAGAAATTATCAAAAAACTATTATTAACACTTCACTCAATTTTAACAAATATGAAATTGCTTACTTTCGGCCTCCAACTCCATGTCAATCTACTACATGTGGCCTGCCACTATATACACTGTAAGATTGTCTAGTTTTACACTTCCAGCAAAGACTAGTACAGCATGGATGTGCAAAAAATTCTTAGCCAAAATTAACAATGTGGTTATAATATTAAAATTGTGCCTGTGAGCCAGCCTTGGTGGCACATGCCTTTAATCCCAGCATTGGGGAGGCTAAGACAGGCAGATCTCTGTGAGTTTGAGGCCAGCCTGGTCTCCACAGCAAATGGAATGAGGCTACAGGAAGACTATCTCAAAAAACAACAAAGGAAAAAACAGAAACAGAAACTGTGTCTGTGGAGCACTCATTTCTCTGTTTTCTGACTACAGATGTAATGTGATCAGCTGTCTCATGCTCCTGCTGTCTGTCTTCTCCACCATGATGGACTGTACCCTCAAACTTTAAGTAAAAAAAAATCCTTCCTTTCTTTAAAAAAAATCTGAATCTGTATCCTGGATCTAATAAAGACAGTAAGCACAGTCAGCTGTCTTTCTCAAAGTATTTAACTAAAATCTGGACAGAATGGATGGAAACAGCTATTTGAGATCTGAAAATGGTAGCAGGTAGAAGGAAACCACAATTAGAAAAAATACAACATACTCAGCAGTGAGTTTCCTGGTTTTGTTTCCTCTACTGCCTCTTGGCCTGGATTCAAAGACAGCCTGAAACTCAGAACTGCACACTAGGTATGGACAGAAAGACAACTTTTGTCGTTTTTGGTCTGAAGTACAGTAAAGAGAGGGCATCCTAAGTATTGCACAAAGAAGGTTAAATCTCCTGGGTTGTTTTTAGATTGAGTGGGTCCCCCTCCCCCTTTCTTTCTCTACACCTGCTCAAGCAATCCCCATGGCAGCATCTGTAGAACAGCAGCTAGTTTCAAAACTAGCCACTAGGTGGCACAAATCTAAGACAGATGCAAATGGCTCTGCAAAGGCTCTGAAAATTAAAATACTGGAATTTTATTGCACAGAAAATAGGTAAAAATTGTGGAGTTAAAACGTTGGAGTTGAAACTAACATGGCCAAATGCTTATTTTTGTCTCCCACCGAAAACAACAACAAAAAACAAACTACATACAACAAACCCCAAATGACAGAAACTTAGGAGTTATCAGACACAAGCAGCTAATACAACTAAGCTTCAAGAAGTAGTGGTGTATGTCTTTAATCTGAGCACTAAGGAGCTGAGGCAGGATTGTCCCAGATCATCAAAAATCTTTGTCACATCCTATTTTTGCTGTTGGCTTCCTCTAAAATTATGCCAGTATTCCTCAGGTGAAGTTAAAAAAAAAAAAAAAAAAAAAAAAGGAGGGGCACCCAAAGCCAGGTATGGTTGCCTACACCTTCTTTAATCTCAAAGCCAGGTATGGTTGCCCACACCTTCTTTAATCTCAGCACTGTGATTCAAGGCCAGCCTGGTCTAGAGGTCCAAGCCAGCTGGGGCTACAGGGAGACCGTGTCTCAAAAAGACCAAAAAAACAGCAACAACAAAAAACAAAGAGCATGCGTATCTCAGGCTACAACAAGTCCTTTGATTTTTCTGCTATTTTTACCACAAACAGCTAACAATACCTTTTATTAATTCCTACCAATCATACAAAACTACAGAGAAACCCCCAAAAAATTTTAAATTCAAAACTTGTCACAAAGTCATGCCTATATTCTTTACAGCTCATTTACATTACATATACCTAAATATCAATAACAGATATTAAGTTATTCTCCAAGAAGAAAACAAGAGTAGACTAGAGAGAGGGCCCAGTGGTTAAGAACACTTGCTGCGCTTGTAAAGGACTATAGTTCAACTCCAGCTCCAAGGGATCCAATGCCCTCTTCTGGCCTCCATGGACATTGCACTTTTGTGCATATACCCACAGATCCACAAACATTAAACATAATAAATTCTTAAAAAGCAAACAAGAATAAAATATCATAAGACACTTGTGTTTATATGCAACAGTATTTTGGTTAAGCTGGACAGAGTGGTGCATGACTATGATCCCAGCACTTTGGGGTATGAGGTAGGTGGACCAAAGACCAGGCTGGGCTACATATGTAGAGTCTGTTGCAAAAAAAAAGGGGGGGGGGGCATGGGCATGGTGGCTCATACCTGTGATCCCAACACTGAGGAAAATGAGGCAGAAGATTACAGCAAATTCAAGACCAGTATGGGTTACCTAATGAGTTCCAAGCCAGTCTGGGCTACAAAACAAAACACTTGGCTACAAAAATCTCTTATGACAATATGATTAACCACACAAGAAAATTTAAAATCAACAGTACAGAGAACTCAAGGGCAGTGAAAATGGTTTTTTAAATATTTACCAATACTACTTAAGCTTGTCAATTTTTAATTCAGCTAATAAAAAGCATTTTAAAGCCAGGCACAGTGGCACATGTCTTTATTCCCAGCACTAGGGAGGTAGAGGCAGGTGGAGCTCTATGAGATCAAGTTCCAGGACAGCTGGGGCTACAAGGCTGTCAAAACACAGACACACAGACACACATACATACACACACTTTAAATCATATTTTCAGCATATTCAAGAATAATCTAAGGGAAGGGAACTGAAGAAATAATTTAGTGGTTAGGAGCATTGGCTACTCTTGCAGAAAACCCAGATTTGGTTCCCAGTACCCACATGGTGACTAACAACTGTCTTTGACTCAGCTCCAGAGGGTCCAGTGCCCTCTCTGGCTTCTATGGATGTGAAGCACTTACATACATGCAGGAAAAACATTTCATACACATAAAACATACATAATAATTTTTTAAAAGAACAATCTAAGTAGCCTATCTAAGGGCTCAGTTTGACTCTGGTCTAAAAAAATACCACTATTAAAACTATTAGTGATTTTACTAGTCCATTCTAGATAGGCAAAGATGACTGGGAGTCTAAATTTTGTGTAATCTGGATGATTTTATTTTACATTTAAAATGTTAATCATATGATAATCTCTATAAATACCTATTATTGCTCTATGAATTATTTGCTGCCCAGCAAGCTTATAAACAGATAACTGGTATCTTTGTATTCATACATATCTCCAGGAAACATGCAGCATGAGAAGAGTTACAAAGTACATGCTACAGCCAGGCGGGTACTCACCTTTAATTCCAGCACTTGGGAGGCAGAGGCAAAAGGACCTCTGTGAGATTGAGGCCAGCCTGGTCTACACGGTGAGTTCCAGGCCTGCTGGAGCTACAAGAAGACCATATCTCATAAAGACCAAAGACCAAAAAAAACCACAAAACCAAAGTACAAGAATGAACCACAGTACTCAGGAGGCAGAGGCAGGCAGATCTCTTGTGAGTTCGAGGCCAGCCTGGTCTACATAGTGAGTTCCAGGTCTGATGGGACTACAAGGAGACGCTGTCTCAAAAACAAAACAAAAAGACCAATGTCAGGGGCTGGAGAGATGGTTCGGCAGTTTAGAGCACTGGATGCTTTTGCAGAGGACTCGGGTTCAATTTCCAGCACCCACATGGCAGCTAACAACCATAAGAACCTCCAGTTCCAGGGGAATCCAATGCCCTCTTCTGGCCCCTGTGAGCACTGCACAACACACATGCAGGCAATACATTCATATACATAAAAAAATAACAAAATGTTTTTTGAAAATAATATTCCAATGTATAAAAGCCACAGAAGAAAAATTAGCAATTAATCTAAAGGGTGACCACTGGGACTGGAAAAAACCAAAAAATTGGAGCTGAAGAGATGACTCAGTGGTTAAGAGTACTTGCTACTCTTGCAGAGAACCTGAGCCGGGTTCCCAATACCCATGAGGTGGCTCACAACTGTCTGTAGAACTAGTTTCAGGAAATTCAATGTCCTCTTTTGGCTTCCTCAGGCACCAAGAAAGCACATGGTATACTTACACTCAGGCAAAGCACTCATACATATAAAAATAAACTTAAAAACAAATTTAAGTCATATTTATTCTGAAGTTCTAGTATTAAACAATGCTGAAGTTGTGGGCTGGAGAGATGGCTCAGGGGTTAAGAACACTGGCTTTTCTTACAGAAGACGCGGGTTCAAATCCCAGCACCCACATGGCAGCTAACAACTGTCCGTAACTCCAGTTCCAGGCGATCCGACAGCCTCTTCTGTCCTCTGATGCCGGCATTACACAACATGGGTGCACTTACCTACATGCAGGCAGTACACTCATACACATAAAAGCCACAGAAGAAAAATTAGCAATTAATCTAAAGGGTGAAAATTAAAAAAATTAAAAAATTAAAAATAAAAAAAATTAAAAAAAAAAAAAAAGGAGCCAAAATTATAAGGTTGGAGAGGCTAGTGAGTGCTTGATAAAGCCTGTCACCAAGTCTGACAGTCTGAGTTGGACCTCTGGAACACACATGGTAGAAGAATCGATGCTTTCAAGTTGTCTTCTGACCTCCATACTTATACCATGGTGCACACGCGCGCGCGCACACACACACACAGTAACTAACAAATAAATGTAATTGGAAAAAGTTTTAAATCTGCAAGGTTAACAGAATTATATCCCATTTTTAGCACATGATCTTTAACTACCTTTCTAAGTCAGATTCCATTTTATCAGGAGGGAAGAGTAAGATTCAGCAGGCTTAGCACTGAAATGGAGTCCAGAGGTGAAAACTAACACTTAACTCTTCCTAGAACAGTGAAGTAAACAGGAAATGAGGAGTTAAGGAATAACTTTTGCCAAATAACTAAAACAAATTTTCCA